CTGACTGTGGGAAAAGTTTCAGTCAAAATTCCCACCTTATGAGACACCAGAGGATCCACATAGGACAGAAACCTTTGAATGTCCTGACTGTAGGAAACGTTTCAGTTAGAATTCCTTCCTAGTGATACACCAGAGGATTCACACCATGGAGAAATCTTTGAAATGTCCAGTCTGTGATGTTACTTCAAGCATGAATTATCTCTTATTGCACACAAGGAAATCCACATGAGGCAAAAGTTGAATAGTTTAGAGAAGTGTTGAATTTCATTTGTGATCTCCCATGGAAGGTGTAGTTGAGAAATTGATTATTTGAATTTTGGCCCAATTCATTTCACTCAAACATTTCTCTGGATTAAATTTGTAAAGGAAAGTGGAAAATGGCCTGACTACAACCCCACCAGGCCTCATACCAGAGGTGGTATTCAGCAGGTTCTGACCAGTTCTGGACAACTGGTAGCAGAAATTTTGAGTTGTTTGGAGAACTGGCAAATACCACTTCTGACTGGAGATTTTACCGTATCCTTCCCCTGCCATGCCCACCAAGCCACGGCCACAGAACGGGTAGTAAAAAAGTTTGAATCCTACCACTGCCTCATACCCTCCTCCTCCTCACCTTTGGAAGATCTCTGTTCCTCATGTTGCGGAGGGAGGGAAAGACACACATCCTTGGGCCTCATGACTGCGTCCTGGAAGCAGCCACCATTTTCACTGGGCCCTGGATTCGTCCCTGGGCAATGCAGCAGACTTTTTGAAGTGGCTGCCATTTTGCCACACTGTCACTTAGAAGAGGGACAAACCTCTCTGTTTTGCTATCTTAACATGAGGTAAAAAATGTACAATAGAAAATGTCTCATTTAAAAAAATGGCTTATGTTAGAATTATCAGAAGTATTTGACATATAAAAATGGGTACTGTCAGTGTTGCTATGAATATTAGGGCAAGACAAGACGCTCAGAGTTGCCTCAAACTGTGAGATGAGCAGCGTTTTAAGTTTAACAATAGATGAATTTAATAATTAAAAGGTAATGTAAGGCTCATTTCCCAACTCTTCCTCAGTGATGAGGACTCCACACATACAGTGGGTTTCTAGCACACTAAAATTGTTAACTTGTAATCTGTCTCTTACGCATTTTGCATTGCTATGACCAATCTGTCTTCCTTAGCTTCCCTTCCCTCCTCATTATAAATTTAGAATTTCAGTTTCAGTCATATATCAATCCATGCACTCTGTGATTCTGATGATGTGAGCTGCAGTTCGGCTTCTGCCTCTTAATTTATTTGTTGCATTGCTACCTGCTCCAGTTCTACATTCTATGAAAGAATGACATTTCATTAAAAAAATTAGAATGGCTAAACTGGATCTGTTTTTATTGGCATTCTTTTCAGATTCAGGGATGTTTTTCTCCATCGCTGCCAGTCTTAAGAGAAGGAAGTTAGGATGTTTCAAACTGGACAACTAAGCTACGGTTCCCCTTGTAACTTTACAACGTTTAAATCAGCCATTGGTTGTGCCAGAGGGATTTGTAGGCTTTGGAAAATCATACCATTACGGAGGAGCTATCTGGCTTCCCTGATGACTCTCCGCATGATGAATCAGATTCAACAGACATTGTGAAAATTGGCGTCCCCGTGATGGAGTAGACACAAATGTTTTGAGAAGCCAATAAGAAGTAATAGTACCGCTTCACACTATGTTAGTGAGATCACACTTAGACTACTGCATCCAGTTTTGGTCACCACAATACAAAAAAGATGTTGAGATTATGGAAAAAAGTGCAAATAAGATCAGTAAAGATGATAAAGGGCCTGGAAATTAAATCGTATAATGATCAGTTGAGGGAGCTAGGATAACTAGGCTATTGAAGAGAAGGATTAGAAGGAAGCATGATAAGGGGGCTTTTAAGAAGTGGCATCTTCTAGGGAAGAGCTCAGGCTCACAAACCCTTCCTTTTGGGAGAGAGATCCATTTGTTAGCACTCATAATCCCAAATGCCTCCATCAGTCCCAGAGGAAGGGGATCTCCCAGAGCAGAAATATCTCGCCACAATCCTTCTGGGTAACCCACCAGCTGGATAGGAGAATAATTATTTCCTCCCCACAATGCTTCTAGCAAATGACATCTAGTGCAAATGGCTTTTTTTCTGGGTGTAATACAGATAGTCCTCACTTACCATTTGCCTCGTTTAGGAACCATTCAAGATTAGGATGGTATATAAAAAACAATCATTTGATGTCTCAATGTCCATGTGGATTCACTTAATGACCAGAAGAGAAGTGAGGTCAAAAGCCTGTTGCAATAAAGTGATCTGCCAGAAGTGCCAGTCACAGTTGTGGTCGCTAAGCGAGGACTACCCATGTTTATTTACCACCACCCTGCAGGCTTCTCCTTCCTGCAATTGATGGGGAGGAGACCAATGTGCTCTCTGGGTGGCTTTCCGATTAGAGAGCTGGTGGGCTGCATGGGGAAGGTGCTGTTGCTGGACTAGGAGTGGGGACACCCAAATTGCAGTCCCTCCTCAGCCATGAAAGGTGCCTCAGGTTTAGCCCCACTTGACAGACCAAACCAAGAAACCAACTCTACAGTGGTGGTTTTTTTGAAGATTTATTGGATTTTTATTTTTAAACATATATCAACATCAATACATGAACAGTGTGGCCTCTGGATATGGTTCATGTTAATACAAATAGCAACAGTCAATTGTTACATTAATCAAACTTACATAATCCTGATATTAATGTACATGATTTTTAAAGTATATTCAATATTCCAATGTTCCATTCTAATACTAATTAGAATATACCATCAAGTACCAATTATCCTATCATTTAAACATATCTAATAGTATCATCTTTCAACCTCCAATCTTTCCATCTACTTATATTTTATATAAAGGTGTATATCCTTATTTCTACCTCTATTCTAGTTTTTAATCAGGCCATCATATTAGAAAAAAAAAAGAAAAATAATTTTCTATCCATCATCTCTTGTTTGTTATAATACTTCAATTCTTATTTTTTTTTTTTTGCTTTCCTCCCATACAATTTACAGAAACATATGGCATTTAGCAGACTTAAAATTTCTTCCTTCAGAAATAAAACAGACACTGGGCGTGTTTGTACACAGTCTGGCTTTCATGAATGAAGTTTGCTTCCTTGGAGTCTCTGGCCTGTTGATGCTCCCAGGTCCTAAGTCTCTGGGAGCCACTGGAATCAGTCATAAAGATTGAGGATGTAGAAAGGTATTCATCTATTGAGAGCCAAACCTCTATAAAAGTGTAGGAATCTATTGATCGGCTTCCAATCTGCAAATTAACACCCTCCAAATATTCTGCTTAGGAATACTCAACTCTGAATTCTTACTCCGGAAATTGGGAAGAGTGCTCTAGCGAGATTCACTCCCCAATAATATAGATAGGGAATTAATGTTGCATGTTCCATTATTCTGTTAATGGAATCAAGCTAACAAGCTGGCAGTAACTTAGGGACTCTGTACACAAATAAATGCTTGATGAGCTTTTAAGGCCCAGAATCTAGTTAATTTTGAAAAGCTAAGTAGGGTCAAGCTTCCATCTTCAAGTTTCTGTCTCTTGCAAAACTAAGTGTTCATGAGTTGTCCTGCACTCCCCAAGACAAATAAGTGGCTGAAGAAGTCTTCACCGGTCCATAAAGAGGTGAGCTTTGACTGCTGTATGCATACAGTTCCCACCTTCTTTCTCTCAGTGTAGTTCCCTCTTCTTTCATGGGAGCTTATTGCTCTGTTTCTGTGACAATGAGTGAATCCTTGGAAGGCCCGAACGAACAAGTTAGGGATAATGATCACGGAGAAAATCTATCGATGTGCTTACTGAAGTCAAAAACAACTTGAACGCACATAATCAATTTTAAAAACCCTTGCAACTGTCTTAGGCAGAGATGGATCAACATGGCTTTCAGCTTTATGTCACTAAATAACGCTCTACAGATAAGCAATGGCCACAATAGACAATTGTAGAGCATTGGTAACTGAAGCGTAAGGAGTTTAAATATTTGAACAGTAGATTCCTAGAGAGGATTTGGAGGAAAGGAGAACAACAGCAGGAGAGCTTGCTCTTCTGGCTCCCTGCTGAGTAGAGGGGAGGCAGGGAGGGAGACCCTCCTGATCTTCCCAGGGTGGAAGCAACAGCTGAAAGGTGAGCTGAGCGATGGAGGAGAGGTCAGAAGCAAGGACTGTTTGGGTTTCCCCAGGGTGAAAAGCAGAGAAGCAACAAGGCTGAAACATGTCAGCTGCTACAAATTCCTTCCTTCCCCAGATTGTATTCCACTGGTGGTGCGTGCTTTAAAACTGGTGACTGCATTTTTCTTTGTATTGGGAGTTTTAAAAAGTCTCCATGTTACTCCTTGTAATTCTATGGCCATGTTCTTTTCTTGGCAACAATTTGGAATGGATCTGCCAGTGCTGTCTTCAGGAATTTTGTTTTTAATTCCATATCTACCAAACAAACACAGGATTTTCTGGAGGTGTGCCATCAATGGAATAACATGGCACAACTGTGCCTAACCCACAACTTTAAAAAAAAACATGTTATTGAGCCCATTTGTGATGTTTGGTTTTATAAGTAGCCCTACCTTATTGCTTACAACTTAGTCTTCAAAACTACGGTGGTACTAAAAAGACGACTTTAAAGTGTCCCTCAAAGTTGTGGCTATCACAGTTATTTGGGGGTGACACTAGCTTGCCCTTACGGTTGTGGTGTCCCACAGTCATCGACTCAGCATTTGGAACACTCACATTCACATTTGGAACATTCTAATGTTGAAAGGCTGGAAAATGCCTTTCTTCTGAGGATTCGGTTTTCCTGCTGGGAGGGCTCTGGTGCAAGGACACAGACCACTGCTTGGAAGCGGGTTTATTTTTCAGGAAGGCAAGAGATAGCAAGAAGTCTGCGTTCCTGGGGCTAGCTATCTTTGTATAATAAACCCCTGATTTTTATACCTTTTCTCCTTTTGTGTGTGAGTGCTTGTGTTTGTATTTCTTAATGTTTTAAATCCTGTCAGGGGTTGTCTTCCTAATGTTTTCTTATATTTGTTTGGTGGCAATCTCCTGTCTGCTATGGAATTTATTTCGTGTCTTTTGTCTATTTGTTTTGCTGATTTGGCATGACCTTTTGTTTGTAAGGGATTTCTTTTTCTTGTTTCCCTAGCTTTCTTAATTACTTGGCTTTTGGCTTGGAATCATTTTACCAATTAATCCACCCACCCACTTACTCCCGTCGTTCTACATTTAGATTAAAAAATGTGAGTGTGCCCACATATATGTATATATGTATGATCTTTCTTCCAGATATATTTAACTCTCTGCAGTTCTTCATGATTGATCCAAGTAAGTAAATTTCCCAGTTGAATGGGTATTTCAACTTGGATCTCAGTAGACATGAAGACTGAAAAAGAATCATAATTAATCTAAGAGGTTAAATTATCATTTTTGGCATCTTTGTCATGTTTTATTGTAGTATACATGCTCTTTACTCTTGTTTTTTTTCTCCAAATGTTGTGTAACCATTTTATAAACCATAATTAAAGCAACCCTTTTATGTGAATCTTACAGGCAAAAGAATGCCAAAGCGAGCACTGTGGAGAACTGAGAATCCCAAGCAGCATTAAAATGCAAAGCAAACCAAGGCAACAATCAAAATCTTATTAGTTCCTCCAGAAAACCCCAAAATGCTTCTTCTTCCCCAGCAGGTAACAGACAAGGAGGAAAAAAACCAAGACAGGAGTTGGACAAAATAGGGTATGTGAAAGAAACATATCAAAATATCTTTCATATAAATTTTATTGAATTTACAATTAAAAAAATAACATAACAACATTACATAAGAAACAGAGAGAGAAAAAGAAGAAAGAAAGAAGAGAAAGAGAGAGGAAAAAAAAAAAACGCTCGGTCTTGCGACCGAAAAAGAAGAAAAAGAAGTATAAAAGAGAGAAAAAAAAAAACAAAGAGACGGAAGAAAAAAGAAAATACGTTAAAACCAGACAGATATTCTTTTTGACAGTCTACAAGATCCAATTCTCCTACCTTACTTTAAATATACATATCTTATCGCTATTTATGGTTATTTATGCTTATTTATGCTCATTGAACAGTTTATCTCTGATATAACCAATTATACCACGTATTCCAATTATTATCAAATGCTGAAGACTCTTTATTTTTAAGAGCTATGGTTAGATTGTCCATTTCTGCGCAGTCACATATTTTCTGAATGACCAATTGATCTGTAGGTAAACGGGATGATTTCCAGCACTGGGCAAATGCTAATCTGGCCGCAGTTAGAATATGAATTATTATATATTTCGTCTTTTTAAGAAAATGTTTATCAGAGATCCCTAGTAGGAAGAACTCTGGTTTGTATTCAATTTGTTCTTTAGTTATCTCCTCCAGCCATTTTCTAATTTTTTGCCAGTATTTCTGGGCTTCTTTACAGGTCCACCACATATGAAAGTAGGTTCCCTCTATGTTTTTACATTTCCAACATTTTGGACTAGAGTTTGGGTTCATTTTCGCTAACCTCGAAGGGGGTAAGTGCCATCTATATAACATTTTATACATATTTTCTTTGTACGCCGCAGATTTCGTAATCTTAATGATTCTATTCCAGATC